TGTGTTATGCCAGAGATTGAATTGGGGCTGACGGCTTGCAAGGTTTGAGGCTTATACCGCTGTACTCTCTCTCCAGCCCCATGCATCTTGAATTTCTAAATCATCAGGTACCTGGTCTGTGAGCTGTGAAGGAGCAGATGAAATGGCTAAGACAAGGAATGATCACAGGGCAGTGTGGAAAAGGCTAGAGGGATGTGTGTCCAGAGCCACAGAAGGTGAGGGGACATCCTGAACGACCCTAGAATGATTTCAGGGAGAGTGACATTAGAGTTTTCAGAAGATGTACAGTAGTGCGTATGACAGAGGACTGGTTAGCCTGGGCTGATATTTCAGAGACTCATGAAGAAGGAATCATCTACAGCACCAGAGAGATCTGGAAGGACGTGTTGAGAATGACCGCTGTTTCTTACCATTAAAATGAAAAATCCACAGCTAGAGAGATTGATTGTATACTGGGTAAGGTGCTTGCCTTGCATGTTGGTCAACCTGGGTCAATCTCCAAACCCATGTATTGTCCCCTAAGCCCTGCCAGGAGTGATCCTTGAGCAGAGAGGTAGGAGTAAGTTCTGAACACTGCCAGTTGTGACTAAAAAGAGTAAAGTAAAATATAAGAATTTTTTTTTGTTTTGGGCCACATGTGGTTGTACTCTGGACTTCCTCCTGGGTTTGTGTTCAGGTATTACTCCTTGGGGGCTTAGGGAACCATCTGTGGTGCTGGGGAATCAAGCCTGGATTGACTGCATGCAAGGCAAGTGCCCAACTTACTCGACTATGTCTCTGGTCCCATAAAGAGACATTATTTGAGGTTGTTTTGTGTTCACAACAAAACTGAGCAGGAGCTGTACAGAGTTTTTCAATGTTCACACACTCCCCCCACTTCCTGGTGCAGACAATAGCTGATAGAAGTACAGATACCTCCTTAAATCCAACATTTTCACTAAAATAGTGCTGACATAGATACACGGATATTTGCTTTGGGGCCACACCTGGCAATGCTCAGAGTTTTTCCTAGTTATGTGCTGGGGCAGGGGTGGGGAGCTCCCAGCCTTGGTTGGGGGACAGTGCATTGCCAGGGATCTCTGGTCAGGGGGTCCCTGGGCCTCCCTCATGCAGATCACGTGCTCCAGTCCTTTGAGCCGTCACTCAGCCCCAGTAGTGCCTATGTATTTTAAAATATATAGGAAGGGGCTGGAGAGATAGCACAGTGGGTAGGGCGTTTGTCTTGCACTCATCCAACCTGGGTTTGATTCCCAGCATTCCATATGGTTCCCTGAGCACCGCCAGGAGTAACTCCTGAGTACAGAGCTAGGAGTAACCCCTGTGCATCGCCGGGTGTGACCCAAAAAGCAAAATAAATAAATAAATAAATAAATAAATAAAATGTATAGGAAGGTCTGGGAGATGTGATTCCAATAGACTTTTGCCGTGTGACCTTCTGAGTCTCAGTGTCCTCTTTTCTAGAATGGAAAGGGCAGTTACTGGAAAAATTCAATTAGACAACATAGTCTAAGCCGAATTTGAGATGTCACAGTGACCCAGACAAGAAGAAGTTTTATGGCAAATTGGAACTGCCTAGGCCAGTGTGTATTTGGCTGTTACAGTATCACACATTTGGTGGCTTCAAACAACAGAAATTCTTAGTCTCATGCTCAGAGGCCAGAGCTTTCATTTTTGTTTGTTTTGGGGTCATTTCTGGTGATGCTCAGGGCTCAGTCCTGGCTCTGCACTCAGGGATCACTCCCCGGCAGTGCTCAGGGAACCATTTGGGATGCTGGCCTTCGAACCTGCTGTACTATCACGCTGGAGGCCAGCGCTTTCATCTTCACTGAGCTGCTGTTAAGGTGCAGGCATGGTCCTTTTTCTTCCAGAAACTTGAAGGGAGAGCCCTTCCTTGCCTCATCCAGCTTCTGCTGACCACTGGCCTTCTCTCCTGTTGGCCTGCATTTACTCTAGCCTCTGCTGCTGTGGTCACCTCACCTCTTCCTTATCTGTGTGCTGAAGCTCCTTTCTGTGTTCTTATTAGGCTGCAGGTGATAAATGTGGGTAATATCTTCAACTCAAAATCCTGTACTTAATCTCTTCTGCAAAGATCCTGGTTCCTTGGAGCATTTTCAGGTTATTAATGGTTAGAACCTCTTTGGAAAGAGATTTTTTTTCACATAGGGGGACACCTTGCGTATTACAACACAGGACCATAAGTATTTCTCATTTTGCTGGTGGGGAGGACTTGGCCTACACTGAGCAGTGCAGTGGGGTACCAGGGGATGCTGAGTGTCTAACCTACACTCAATGCAGTTTCTTCAGTTCCTTGAACTGTCTCTCCAGCAGTCCCTGAATATTTCTTTCATGTCTGGTCCACTCAAATCGTCCTGTCTCTCTTAGTATACCTACCAGTCAAAGCCATCGGCCTGACCTGGGAATCTTCCTCTCCCCACTCGGAGAGGATAGGGGCTCTCCAAGTTGGGGAATGCTGTCATGCTTCCTTCGGACGCCTAGCAGTACCCAGAATGTCGTTACTCTGGGGGCGTTTCCCAGTTTTGATGAATGGGGAGGTGCATTCTAATACTGCTTCCCAAACTTCCATAGGCCAGGCACCTCTGATTCAGTAGGTTGTGCAAGGTCTGAGAATCCAAGACGTCCCAAGCATCCCAGGGGAATCATATTACCAGCCAGGATTTGGAAACATTGATTCCCACGAAGTCCTGAACCCAAACCCTGGAAGTAGGGAATTCCCCTTTTGGCCGATGGACGTGTCCTGATCTTACTTGACTCTTTTTAAAAATTTATTTATTTACTTTTAATTAAAAAGGGTGAGGAGAAGGGAGAAGAGAGCAACCCTAAAAAAAAAAAAAAGAAAAAAGAAAAGAAAAAAAACCCCGGAGGGATCCTGTTTGGACAATCCTCACTATCAGGATTCCCTAACGGGAAAAGGTCCAGTTCTGAATTAGAGGATGATTCGGCTGACTCGGATTTGGCAGTGGAGCAGCTGTCACTAGCCGGGGACCTCGTGGCTCTGACAGATCAAGCCCTGGCGGTTCCCTCCGGCTGAGCCCAAGGCTCGGCTCGCTCGCAGATCAGTTCCAGCACGGGGCGGGGCGGCGACCCGGCTCCTGCAGCCCGGCGTGCAGACAGATGCCCATAGAAAGGTTCATCAGCTTTAAGGGTGGGCCGGGGAGGGGCTTCCAGCGCGCCTCCCGCAAGTCACAGCCACTCTAAAGTGGGGGGCGTGGGGACACATGGAGCTATTTATTCTGGCCTGGGAGCCGGGAGCTGGGGCTGTTCGAGGCTGCCCTAGGAGCGGTTCTGAGTCCAACAACAGGCTGGTTCATCGCAAAGTGCCCGACTTGGCCAGGTGGGGGCAGCCGCGGTGCAGTGGCCGGGATGCAAAGAAAATATGCGGGCGCTGCGTCAATTCTTTGGGAGACGGTGGGGTTCAGGGTCGGGCTTCGTCGCGAACCACGAGGTCGCAGCTTTCTTGCTCAGGGGGGCGCGGCCGCCGAGAGGGACTCCGCCGGCGATGGTTGAGAGCCCACCTGAGAGCGGTTTGTAGGCAGGGTGGGGGTCGCAGTGCCAGGCTCCGCTGGGAAGGCGAGCGCAGAGTTGGAAGTCGGGGATGCAAGGGGGCAAAGGATCAGGTTGAGTTGCACGGAGCGGGGCGCGCTCTGCAGGTTCATGCGGCTCGGGTGCACGCGGCGTGGGCGGGGGTCAGAGCCTGCGGCCGCAGTGGGAGTCGCTGATCGGGGTGGCAGTCCGGGCGCTCAAGGTGCTGTCCCGGCGGCGCGCTCCGGCCGTAGTCGGGGAACTTGCCGGGTCGGCGGCGCGCGCGGGGCGGGGCGGGGCGGGGCGGGGCGAGGAGCCCCGTGCGGCGCCGCCTCCTTCGACCACAGACCCCGCCCCCTTGCCGGAGGCTCCGCCTCTCCGCCTCTCCCCGCCCTTCTCCCCGCCCCCCTCGTTTCGCCCCGCCACCCAATCCGCAGCCGGGGCGAGCCGAGGCGGGGCGGGGCGAGGAGCCCCGATGCGGCACCGCCTCCTTCGAGCACAGACCCCGCCCCCCTTGCCGCGGGCCCCGCCCCTCCGCCTCGCCCCGCCCCTCGCCCCGCCATCCAATCCGCAGCCGGGGCGAGCCGAGGCGGGGCGGGGCGAGGAGCCCCGTGCGGCACCGCCTCCTTCGACCACAGAACAACCCGCTCCCTTGCCGCGGGCCCCGCCTCTCCGCCTCTCGCCCCGCCCCTCGCCCCGCCCCCCAATCCGCAGCCCGGGCGAGCCGAGGCGGGGCGGGGCGAGGAGCCCCGTGCGGCGCCGCCTCCTTCGACCACAGAACAACCCGCCCCCTTGCCGCAGGCCCCGCCTCTCCTCCTCTCGCTCCGCCCCTCGCCCCGCCACCCAATCCGCAGCCCGGGCGAGCCGAGGCGGGGCGGGGCGAGGAGCCCCGTGCGGCGCCGCCTCCTTCGACCACAGAACAACCCGCCCCCTTGCCGCAGGCCCCGCCCCCCGCCTGGCCCCGCCCCTCCGCCCCGCCACCCAATCCGCAGCCGGGGCGAGCGCAGAGCCGGGCCGCTTGTCTGGCCGGTGGAGGCTGAGCGCGACCCTTCGGGAGCCGCGGCGCCCACCGAGCGGGGACACGCGCGACTCCCGGGACTCCGCGTGGCCCCGTGCCGCCGCCGCCGCCGCCGCCTGCTCTCCTTTTGTCACGGGCACGCTCCGGCCCGTGCCGGCCGGGCCCCGATTCTCCTCCTCTTCCTTTTGGAGGGGAAGGAGCGGGGAGAGCCCAGCGGCGGCTGCGGGAGAGCGAGCGAGCGAGTGAGCGGAGGCCCCTGCCCCCGGGGCGCGGGGCTGGACCGGGAGAAGGAGGAGGAGGAGGAGGAGGAGGAGGGGGGAGCAGGAGGAGGAGGAGGGGAAGGAGGAGGAGGAGGGGGGAGGAGGAGGAGGAGGAGGCGGCGGAGGGAAGTGCGCGTCACTCCCGGGAGCAGAGTTGCACCTCCAGGCAACCGCGGCGCCGCCGAGGGGGCCCCCTGGCCATGGAGAGGACCCCGGGCCCCCGGGACGCCGCGACCTGGGCTCCGTCTCGGCGCCGCGCGGTGTAGGCACCTGAGTCATCCGCAGCCCGGCGGGGGAGGGGAAGGTAAGACGCGTCCCCCCCGCCCCCCCCCCCCACCACCACCCCCGGCCTCCCGTCCCGCGCCCCGCCTCCCTCGCGGTCCCCCGAGGGCAGCCCGGGACCCCGATCGAGCTCCCGGGGACCCCCTGCCCACCGCACCCCACCCCACCCCGCGGCTTCTGGGGCCGTGGAAAACAACTTCCCTCCCGGGCTGCAGCAGCACCTTCTTCTGCTCTGCCCGCCTGGCCCCGCCGCCGCCGCAGGGTCCCCCTCCTCCCGGGAGCCGGGAAGGAACCGGACGCCCACCCCGAGGACTGGGGGTCCTCGGCGGGGAGAAAAGGGCTTTGGAAAGCGTCGCTCGATCTCTCTCTTTCTCTCTCTCTCCTCTCATCCTCCTCGCCCCTGCGCTCGCTCGCCGAGCTGGAAACAATGGACCCTTGCAAGTCGTGGAGAGCAGCCGCAAACTTTAGGCAGAGGGGAGGGGGCCGGCCTGGGGGTTGGGTGGGTGGGTGGGTGGGTGGGGGAACAAACCCCACAGGAAGCCGAACTACGGGAGAGCTGGGAGGAATGTGCAGCACAGCCCGCGATCTTTGTCCCTGGGTTGATGCCGCCCCCCGATCTCGCCCCCCATTTCCCCACCACCACCACCACCACCACCGCTTTGTTTAAGGTGAAGTTTGGAAACTCGCGGGCGCTTCCTATGAGAGCCGGGCTCTTGCTTTTCAGCAAGAAAAGCACACCCCGCGCGCCTCCTCGCTTTCCTGGGCAGAGTTGGGGGGTCTTTTTTTTTTTTGCTTTTTTGCATCCCACCCGGGCGATGCACAGGGGTTCCGCCTGACTCTGCGCTCAGGAGTTACTCCTGGCGGTGCTCAGGGGACCATATGGGATGCTGGGAATCGAACCCGGGTTGGACGCGTGCAAGGCAAACGCCCTACTCGCTGTGCTACCACTCCAGACCCAGAGTTGGGGGCAGGCGGGGGTGGGTGGGGGGGTCTTGGCCCCGGCAGGGTCGCCTCGCTTTGGAAGGACCCCCAAGTGCTGTCCCGAAGGCTTGCTGCCCACACTCTCGCAGGCAAGCCAAGACTCCGGCAGGGCCGAGGACCTTGTGCATCGCTGTGTGTCGAAAACGGCTCTCTTGAATTCTCTGGAGGTCAGGGAAACAGACATATAGTATATAGATATATAGTAACAGTAACAGACTGTTAGTTACAGACATATAGTAACAGACATATAGTATATAGTACATATAGTATATAGTATATAGACTATATAGAAAATGTGTGTGTCTCCTTTCATCAGCTGTAGGGGATGGAGCGCCTGGTTTAAAGCACCCCCTCACTGCATCCCTGCCCCCTCCCGCCCCCGTGTCTTGGACGAAGTGCTGAGATGTTGCAGGACTGCATGTGTGGAGGACGGGTAGCCGCTGTCTGCAGTGGGCTCTTCCCAGCCCAAAATGAGCATTTCTAGAAAAGGAGGTGGGAGGCCTTGAGAAACCCAGGAGCTGCCAGGCATATATACCTGTTGGAAGTGGCTCTGTGGGAAGGAGCTAGCGAGCAAGTTGGAAATGTTTAACTTCATGGTTGTTTGGCTCGAGTGGGGCTGTTAATGTTTAACCAGGGGAGGAAGCTGCCCTTTGCAGAGCTGGTTTGGGCATCCCCGGCAGGCAGCCTGGTGAGTGTGAGTCCTATTTATTTCTGGGTCATGCAGAGGCAAGTGTCATGGGTTATTCACTGTTTTAATATTGGAATAGCACCTTCGCGTGCTTTCCTCTCTCTCTCTCTGTTGAAATCGCGTCTGCTTATCTATATCCCTGCACTCTGGATAGGCATGTGGAGGGGCAGGACTGGATTTCAGCTCAAGAAAACTGGTTTATTTGATGTGTGTTTATAGGCTCAAAAAATCAAGTTGAGAAGTGAATTCCGAGCCATGACCTGTGCTCCCTGTGACACTGCCAGCAAGCCAAAGATTGGGTTAGTGTATGTAGGGACAGGGACATCAGTAAACATGTTTAGATTTCTTTACAACTAATTGTGTAAAACTCCTTCCTTCCTTCCTTCCTTCCTTCCTTCCTTCCTTCCTTCCTTCCTTCCTTCCTTCCTTCCTTCCTCAGACACAGTCTCAGTTTCCTTCCTTCCTTCCTCCGACACACAGTCTCAGTTATGCAAGGCGAATGCTCTACTACTGAGCTCCATGCCTAACTTCTAGAGGTTTTTGTGTATGTTTGTCTGTTTTGTTTTTGAGCCACACTGAGTAGTGCTCGAGGGTTGCTCTTAATATATTGCTAGTGGAACCATGCGGGACAGGGCTGGAACCTAGGCGGGAGCATGCTAGTCGCCCTTAGAGCTACTTCCCTTGGCTCCCGACAGTCTTTTATTTTTTTGATCTACCCTGTTAGGACAGATTTTTTTTAAAGCCTCAATTTTAACTGCAGGAAGCCAGAGTGTGTCCACACCTCATGAATCACATTGAGATGATGATGATGATGATCAATGATGATGATGATGATGATGATGATGATGATTTTGGCTTCACCCAGTGGTACTCCAGAGTTCACTGCTGAGGCGAGGGTCAGGTCAGAGGTCACTCCTTTCCATTTGGGGGCACCATGTTGTGTCAGGGTTTGAACTCAGGCCTCCTACATGGCTCCAGCCTTTGTGCTCTCTCATAAGTCTCTTGTAAATAAGAATCTTAGAGACTTAATTAGCCCTGTGCTCTAACAGCTATCTTGGACCAAGAGAGAACAAAGGTAGGGAGTGAGGTATTCTTAGTGGGCCTTCTCTGATTTCCAAAAGCTATCACTTAACAGCTCTGCGCCCCCAGGCAAGCCTCAGAAATGGAGAATGAGAAAACCTACCTTAGAAAGAGAAAATGTAAGTGATCATTATCAGGTTCTCAGTTTTTGACTCACCTGGGGATCTACGAGATGTGCAGGAGTAAAGTGCTGTGAAATCTGAGAGTTTGAGTCATCCACCCACACATCATCCATTCAGCCAACAACTATTATTAATTGCTGTTTTGTGCTGTGTGTGCCCTGGAAGATGTCTAAGGATCCACTAGCTTTGCAGTGTGTTCCGTTGATTGGAAGAAAGGGTTGATGGTGTGGGTGTAGCTTAGAGAGACCCCAGGAGCGCTTGTGGTGCTTCCATTTCTCATAAGATGTGCCGGAGGATAATCTCTGCTGTCGAGGAATGAGCGTAGTCAGGGAGAAGGGGGAAAGGAACAGTTAGACTAACCCTTAGAATAAGCCCGGAAGTGTGTCAGTGCTGCGAGAGTTGTTCCTGGGATGCTTGAGAAACCCACAAAAGGATACCCGTGGGCAAAGCAGTTTTGTTAAAGACAAAGTTTGCTAAGTCCGATCAAATGGTAGGGGCTAAACTCTAGGATCAGAAGGGCCATTTGGAGGTCTTGATGTTAGAGTTGAGTTTAAAACAAGGCTTGGAGGTATATTGAATTTTGGAATTTTCCACATTTCAACTTTGGGTGTGAATAATTCCTTTCTTGGATTTTTTTTTTTTGGTGGGGGGAGGGGGGAGACAGTGCTCAGAGCTTACTCCTGGGTCTGAACTCAGGAATCACTCCTGATGGTGCTTGGTGGACCATATGGGATGATGGGGGACCATATCCAGGTTGACCACAAGTGCCCTAGTGTTGCTCCGGCCCTTCTTTGACTTTTTGGGGTCCTCGTCTCTTTTTCACATTTTCTAAATAAATTATTCAAAGATATAGCAAAGCTCTGAAAATTGTTATTTAGACAGTTCCCTAACTCTTCACACGTTGTTTTATCATCTGTAAAATGAGTTAAACAATGCAGAAAGATCACTGAATGACTGAGCACATGCTTAGCATGTGGGAGATCTGGGTGTGATCTTGAGCACTGAGTGGTCCCTGACAATAGAGCCAGGAGTCACCTCCTGACCACCACCAGGTATGGCCTCACCCCCCCCCCCCCAATTAAACAAAGCAAATTTATGGGACTCTATAAGAAGGATTGTTTGGTTTAAATCAATCCATGGCATATATGATCTGAGTTACTTAGCAAATATGATAGAATATTGAATAGTGCCCCTTGATATAAAAAGTTTTTTCCAAGTTGCGGGCTGGAGCGATAGCACAGCGGGTAGGGCATCTGCCTTGCACGCAGCCAACATGGCCGACCCGAGTTTGATTCCTCCGCCCCTCTCGGAGAGCCCGGCAAGCTACCGAGAGTATCTCGCCCGCTCGGCAGAGCCTGGCAAGCGCCCCGTGACGTATTCGATATGCCAGACACAGTAACAACAAAGTCTCCAATGGAGACGTTACTGGGCCCGCTCGAGCAAATCGACGATCAACGGGAGGGCCTGTACCTGTACCTGTTTCCAAGTTGTGTGATTTTTGAAGCTCTACATAGATGCAAATGATAGCTTAGTCTCACTAGCTTTGGTCACAATTCTGGTATGTTTTGAATCCCATTCTTTTCTTGTTTTAATTTTTTTTTTCTTTTAGGGCTGTTCCAAGCAGTACTTGGGGACCTGGGGGCCACTCCTGATGATCCCAGATCCAGCTTTGTGGGGTTAAGCTTTGAGTTCCCTGCTTGGTGACGCAGTGCCACTTGGGTGCAGGGGACCTTGCCACAGGTGTCCCCACCAAAGCTCTCTCAGGTGGTGCTCACCCTGAGGTGTTGAACCCGGGGCCTCTTCACGCATGGCACAGTGGTGCAGCCCCTGGAGCTGTGTGCTCGCTCTTATGTTATTTGAGTCAAGTGTTTGATTCCTCCCCTTCTCTCTGCTGTCCTTTTGCAAAGGCTGGGGGGTGTGAGGTGGTCACACACATGCTTCACACTTGCACATTTAGTTGTGGGGCTTGCCAGGGGTCACCCTCAGCTCCTCTGTGTGGGTTGCGGGGGGGGGGGGGGCGCTCCTTTTTCTTCGTGGTGCTGACACATATGCTCTCTGGTGGTTGTCCCTTCACGTGTGCTGCTCACACCTGTGTTTGCCAGGCCTGGTGTGTCCAGACTGGAGTGCTCTCAGAGCCTAGGTTGGGGTGCT